GTGATTATTGAGTTTGGTATATTATTAGATTTTAATTATCTAGTTTAATATAATACTTATTATATTTAGAATTAATCTTTTATCAATTAACAAAAAGACAAAAAAACAACCAAAAAAAAAAAAGGGTTAAAAGTTATCCTTTTTAGCATGAATTTTTAAATGTTTATAATTTTTTTCTCCACAATAGTAGTCTTTGAATTGATATAAAATAGGAAAATGTTTGGTAATTCAAAATTTTGTGGCTCAAATGGTTCAAATCTGTCAAAACGATGTCGTTTTACATTCATTTACACTATCATTTTGAGTGATTAGAGCCATTTAAACCACAAAATTTTAAATTATCTAATATTATTGTATAAAATAATAACAATGACACCACTAAAATAACTCCCCGATTACGCCACTGACTGCAATAATAACTTGTCATTTTAGCCTAATTAAAGCTTCTTTTGACAAACACTTAAAGAAAAATTTGCAATAATTTGACTCACCGTTGATTGTGTGTTTTTATAAATATCCGTTTTTGACTTTAGCAAGATATTTAGCTCAATCATTGAAGATACTTTACCAAGTTAAGGTTGAACAAATTTACACTCAATTTGGTAAATTTATTTATGAAATTAAGCTAATCAATTATAACTCATTACTGACTTAACTAAAATTTATTTATGATGAATGATAAATAAAAACTCATCATACTTTTCAGTTAAAAAAATAAAAAAACAAAAAAACTCATCGTACTTTAGAATTTATTAAGCTAAAGTCAAACATCTTACTATTTTTCGTTGGTTGAATGCTCTCTCTCTCTCTCTATCTCTCTCTCTCATTTCATTATTCTCTTCCTTCATGACTTATAATTTAGGGCTATTTTGAAGAAATCGTTAAAAATTATCTTTCACTTTTTAATATATTTTAAATCATATCATTTCTCACATTTTTTATATTTTTTTTTAATTATATTCTCAAAACACTCCTTTAGTATATCAATCAAAAAAATATTAAACATACATTATAATAACTAATAACTAGCATATCACTTATACTATGCACGAAATAAAAAAAATAAAAAAATTATCAAATAAAATATCATAGGTGCAATAATTGAAATGTAAACTAAAAAAAGAAACAAAATAAGTAATATAGAAGAAAAAAAAATGACATTTACTTGCATGCTTTACTTTGTCATCAATCCAAACATGATATTTATAAAACATAATAATTTATTTTCATTAATTGTAAAATATTTATAATATTAAGAATGTCACTTAAAATTCCAAAAGAAAAAAAAAATCACATTCATATTTCTCACACATGTTTTACTTTATCATTCATCCAAACACGATGGTTAAAAAATACAATAAGTTTTTTTTCTTTCAATTAAATGAGAAATCACAAATTTGTTTTTTCTCACCGTCTAATCAAAACGAAGTGTAAATCTTCAATACCAATGTCACTTAAAATACAAAAAGGAAAAAAAAATCACACTCATATCCGTCTCTCACATGTTTTACTTTGTCGTCCATCTAAATATGATAGTTAAAAAACACAATCAATTATTTTCTTTTTTCAAAAACACAATCAGTTAAAAAACACAATCACAATATTTTTTTTCTCATGGTCTGATCAAAACGGAGTGTAAAAAAACACAATTAGTTAAAAAATACAATCACAATTTTAATATTTATAATATTAAGAATGTCACTTAAAATATTGTAGGTAAAAATTTAGTGCAAACCTAATCGACAATGATTTGATCAACAGACTTAAAACCAATCTTTAAGTAAACACAAATAAAAATCAAACTTTGTGGTTAAGTTCTATGCCTTAAATAGATTAAGGACTTACTTAGAGGTAATTAGGCAAAGAAGAAATAGAACTGAAAATAATATGTATTTATTCAATTAATTAGCCATTTGCTATTAGTTACATAAACTTAAACGAGAACAAAGAAACGAAAAATACAGCAATCAATAGAAAGAAGAGAAATGTGAGGTTGGAAAAGCTACTTGTTTAATCTACTCCCAAATTAGCTAATCTAGAACTACTCTTAAATAACTTTACACGAGTGTGTTTGATGGTTGATTGATGTCCTTTTGCAAATTTGATGTTTGATTTGATCTTGACTCCTTGATCTCAATAACTAACTTTCAAGTTGCTACAGCTATTAACTTTCTGGTCCTCCATTTAACATATCATTATGCCACGTCCTTAACACATCTATCACGCCATGTTAGCATGCCTGTCGACAAAGATAATAATAATAAAAACAAATGTGGCCAAGGTTATTTTTAAAAATAGTCTATGGTCATAATCGATAGACTATAATCGACTTGGCCATAATCAATTAGGCCATAATTGACAGAAAAATAAAATGTGATGCAAACAATACAAAAAGAAAAAAAAAAAAAAAAAGACTCATCTATCTGTCACATGTTTTACTTTGTCTTCCATTGAAACATGATAGTTAAAAAATACAATTAATTATTTTCTTTCTTCAAAAAACACAATCAATTAAAAAATAAAATCACAAATTTTTTTCTCACAATCTGACCAAAACAGAGCGTAAAAAAACATAATTAGTATTGTAAAATAATCATTTATATTAAGAATGTCATTTAAAATACAAATATATATATATATATATATTTCACACTCATATCTGCCTCCTACGTGCTTTATTTTGTCATCCATCCAAACATGATAGTTAAAAAACACAATCATTTATTTTCTTTTTTTCAAAAAACATAGTTAGTTAAAAAATACAATCACAATTTTTTTTCTTCTCACCGTCTGATCAAAACGGAGTGTGAAAAAACACAATCAATTGAAAAAAGTATCACAGATTTTTCAATCAGTATTGTAAAATAATCGTTTTAAAATAATTATTTTTTAAAATTGAAAAATCCCAAAAATGAAGGTTGGGCGAGAGTTAGGAAATAAGTATTAAGTATTTTTTTAATTAGAAAATTAATAAATTTAAATTGAAAAATGGTCATTTTTCTTATTATATATATAGAGAGAGATACTGTTTGCCCTTATTTTATATTAATAAATAAATAAATATTGATAAATGTGAAATAAAATTACAAAAATTTAGCTAAAGTTTTCCTAAAAATGATTTTCATCCTCTTCATTTTATAGATTCGATTCTATAAAGTTGCAATGTATTATTAAAATCTAAAAAGACAAATATGTTTGTCATTATAATTTTTAAAATTTTATCAGCAATTTTAAATTTAATAATCATTAATTATAAATCTAAAAGATGATTGAATTGCGTCATCAACACGGGCAATGTGACAGCAGAGAGAAGTCAATTGGCCGTGTCACCAACGAGACAATGACTGGATGCCGATTTGTTCATCAGTTGGGCCCACTTGGCCATCTTTGTTTTATTTTATGATAAATTACACTCACTTCCCATATATTTTAAAAAAAATATATAATTAATCTTATATTTTAACATAATAATATTGATCTCTTTTAAAATTTTAAATTTACATAATATCTAAGTCATTTGTTATTAGTAATTTGTTAGCCGTATAAATAGAACATATTAAGAAGGGTGTTTTGGTTATTTTATTTAAACTTATTCTTTTGAATAAAATATTTTTGTCTCAACTTTTGACCAAACAAAATTAAAATTTAGATCTATAGACCGAGTGCTCTTTTATATTTGGATGTACCATAAAATTAAAATATGATATTATTCAACAAACAATTTGTGAAAAAATGAAATGACGTATTATTAAAAATAAATTATATATTTAAATAACTTAATAGGGAGTACTAAAAGGCTTTAGTAAAAGCTAGACATACTAACTGATTTTTTGGGTGTGCGCAAATAGAATCCCTCTTTTTGTTTGCTTAAGTTAAAAAGTTAAAATGTGAGACTGGATTGTTTTTGGACCAGAGACTTTAAAATTATTAAGAAATTTATGAGTAAGTCCTATTAATTAAATTTTTTTTTCTTTTTTTCACTTATTAATATCTCTAAAATATGTTGGGTCAAAATAAGTATTTTAATACTAGTTGGTACATTAAGAAGAGTGTACAAAACCTACATGTAGTTAAGTCAATCATACAAAACTAGCCTGTCACCTGTAATTTACTCAAATTATTAAGAGTTTTTAAATTTTGGAGACCTACTCACATAATAGAGCCTTAAGCACATGCCTGATTTGCCTAACACATGGGCCGGCCTGCAGGTAAGGTTTTGAGTCTTGCGAGCAAGACTACCCCTCCCCAGATTTCAACCTCCCATGTATAAAATTTAGGAGCATTTAGTATTAAAAATTAAAAAATCAACGAACCAAAGGCACATTGACACATTCTTATAATTGCAGGAAGTCCAGCCACATAATTTAGGTGCACATCTATTGCATCAGTATAAACATATTTTGGTTGTGTTTTCATTTTCATTGTATTTTCGAAAACAAAACAATAATAAATTTGAAGCACACACCTATTATTTTTATATCGTCTCTTTTTTATTTTACAAAGCAATTTTTTAAAATCTATCATTTGGTAGGGAGAGGCTTCTGTTCAATCCATTGTGTGGATTGGAGCATATTGTTGGGTCCGTGAGGCCCATCACGGGTCTTGTTTCGATGATCTAAACCGTTCAATGTGTAAAGCTCATCGAGTACTTCATACTTGCAAAAAATCATGTTGATCGGATATCAATAACTCCTTCATCCAAAACACATTTTTGTCAATAGTAAACAAGATTTTAAAAATGAATTGTTAACAAGAAGGTATTCTGATCAAAGGACTACCAATATCCGGTCAATGTGATTTTTTACAAGTATAAAATTCTTGACAAGCTCTACACATTGAACATTTCAAATTATCGAAGCAGAACCCGTGGTGAGCCCTATAGCCCAACAATACGCTTCAATTCACACAGTGGACTGGAGAGAAGCCTCTCCCTTTTCGCAAAAATGAAAACACAACCAAATCGAAAAATGCAAACAGAACCAAATAAGTTCTTGCAGAGATACCACTGGCCAACTTGCATGCCAATTAGCCTACACTCTACAGCCCAGACAATTTTTCTTTACAAAAAAAAAAAATCAATCCTATCGAGCTCACCAAAAACATCTTTGCATTTACACATATTACATTCCATTGAATGAAATCAATTTAAAGAATAAATTAATATAATTATAACTATTATATAATAGAATGCAGCTGCAGCACAATTATATCCAATCCCAGCACAGCATGACACCTGCGAAATTCATGAATTAGATGATTTATAAGATATTAGGAGACTGAGGCCAATATCAACTGCAATTACAGTAACACAAAGGAAAATCTCTCCAACAGTTGGACAAAACAATTTAGTATTTTGATGCATTACACAAATATACATATTTAAAGGAAATACTATAACACAACCCAACATAAACGGGGAAATATTGGTAACCATATACTCTTTAATATCAGCAGTGTCCTCAAAACCAGTATTTTGGTGGTCACCTAGAAGCAAAACATATAAATCCATATGCATTCATGTATGTGTGAAAGGAGAATCATTGTGTTGATTTCTCAACCAAAGCTGGAAATCCAAGAGTCATAGCTCCTGTGCAGTTTATGGGCCTTGAACAGTGTTACCAAAAAATACTAATACCCTAGCAATTTACATTTTGGAGCACATGGTAATAAACATGGTTATATTTTTGTTCCAAAACAGTGAATTTGGAGATCCAAAGTGATCCCATAAATTCTGTGTGTTTCTTAAAGTTTCCCTGGGAAAAAAAACTGGTATAACTGAACTAAAATGTAAGGAGAACGGAGTTTTGGTAAAACAAAATATAAAAAATAGGCCATAATACTACTAAAAATGTGTTTAAGGAAAAAGTGGCTCTTCTTTCACAAGATATGGCTCATGCACTACTAGACCGGCCACACCTAGAAAAGATGCTTCATGATTCCTCACAAACAAATCAAAAGGCTCAAAAGGGAGGCATTGCCCCAAATGTTGAAGATAAATACAAGTAATTTTTCACCAAAAAGGTTTCACAGCAGGTCCAAAATGGTTTCTTTTCTGTCGTTTTTCATTCCACTAAATGCTAATTCAGACAATTTTTTTTTGGCAGCAAAAGAGCTAGCACAATACGTAACTACACAGTTGGAAAACATGTCATGAAAGAAACGTAGGACAAATTGCACCTTATGTCATCTTTTCTTAAATTAAATGTCAATGAGCACAAGAATAGATGTATATAAGGGGTATTCATACCTCATGCTTTCACAACAAGGCCAACTCTTTTTGACGAATCCTTGTATTGCACAAAACCTTCTGAAACCAAATTATGCAAAATCCCAGTATAAAGAAGGTTGGGGGCCTTATAGTGATTAAAGTGATTCAATTTCTAGCAACCACCTTCTTCAAATGGAAGCAAAACTTTCAAAACTTTCTCCTCGAGGAAATAAGCCATTTTTCCGATGCAAAGGTGATGGTGGTTGGGGAGAGTGGGATATACTCATCCGTGACACTTTATTCGTTTGAGAGGCCAAGTACTCAAGTGCTACAGCAATATCCCCAATGGCGGGGCGGAAATTTGCTTGCTCCTGAAGACACATTGCAGTAACAGCAACTGTGTGGTGCAAACTACGGACAGGGAAGCTCCCTTGGAGCCGGGGATCAACCAACTGAATGAACTTCTTCCGGTCCTTTAAGAAAGGTCGAGACTGCAACAGTTTAAAAAACCAAATTTAAGGAGCAGTCACATTATACCTACATAATAGAGAAATTATCCTCAGATAGAAATTCTGGTCAGAAGTGCATCTCATTGCTAGTGAAGAAAATCTTATTCCAACCCAAAAAAAGGGGATAATCTTATTTCAAAAAAAGAAAAAAAGGAAAAGAGCACCTTTAAAATGATTCGTCATCTACTTTATGGAAAATTATACAATAGTTCCAGAGTATCAAGTGGCCATACTTCCTCACCAATCACTATTCATTATGCCCCTCATATTCCTCAATCACCCAACACAAATAATCAATACTCCACTTTCTGCACCAATCATACTACCATGGGGCACCCCGTGGCCGTACACCCAGACTACCAAATAATCACCACTAATTTAAAGTATCAACAAGATTTTTATAATATAAAAGGATAAGAATGCCCTATCCCAATATACAAGAGTTCAGAAATCCAGGTAACAATAACCAGGTAAAAAGGGGTAACACGAGAGAGCACATATAAAACCAAATCCATTAAGCCCACATAAAAATAAGGCTACTAGATTCAAGAATGAAAATAAAATTATGGGGAAGCCTCACTTTGATAGACATCAAGTGATTAAACACAAAGAGGCGAAGACTTTAACTCACCCAAACAATAAGGTTCTGCTCTCCGGGCTTTTTAGAGGAGTCAATTGCCTTACGCCCAGTAATCAACTCCAACAGAACAACACCAAAGCTATAGATATCAGATTTTAGAGTCAGCTTGCCACTCATGGCATACTCTGGGGCACAATATCCATATGTTCCCATTACTCGGGTTGAAACATGAGTATTGTCACCAACAGGACCAAGTTTAGCAAGCCCAAAATCTGAGAGCTTAGGATTGAAGTTTTCATCCAACAATATATTGGCAGATTTTAAGTCTCGGTAAATAACTGGTGGACTTGCTTTACAATGGAGATACTCGAGACCCCGAGCAGCACCAACAGCAATCTTCATTCGTGTGCTCCAACTCAGTGGCTCTTTATCGGGTTCAATATCTGAGAATAGGAAGCACCAAATATGTCCAATTAACAATTGCGGCTTCAAAGGTAGTGCTAGTGTGCAGTTTTGTAGAGAATTCAGAAAACAAGCAAACAAACAGCATTCAGAGAAAAATAAAGTATCATGCTTTATTTCTTCTAAATGTGCGCTGATAATTTTATTTTCTTTTTTTCAATTAAAAAGTAAACTGTGCTTTTAGCAAAACAGGATTGGTGTAGCCAACCATTTATGTAAATTCACACAATGAATGTTCTTTCTTTCTTTCTCCTTTATTAAAATGTACTTAAAACTAGCACCATGTAAGTGAATTGTGCATTCCATAACAGAAGAAAATACCTACAAACCAATCATCCAAAAAAGACTTTAAAAAAGAAAAACAGCGGAAAAAGAAAATGGAAAAAAAAAACAAAAAAGGAAGAGAGAGAGGTAGTCCAAGAAATGCTGCTTGGAATTCTATTGAGAGTCCACTCGCACATAGAGCCACATTATTCATTCGACCGGGAGGGGGGAAAGAAAAAAGTAGGGCGGACTGACTCAAAGACAGAAGGTTTAAGAATTCCTGTAGAAAGGCAGGTTTAATCAATCGGTCTTACCCATCGAGGAATCATACTATTGTACTAGGAAGGCACATTGAAGTCTCTCAAGTCAAAGTAGATCAATTCTATCTATGATCTTTCAATTTGCATCGCGTTGATGCTTTCTTAATAAAGTTTGATTATTTATCAACAAAAAAAAAAAAATCATTGAGTTTAAAGCAGCTCACTCCATATTAGGGGCATCAACAAAGATGTCAATAGCCAGGCTTCAAACAAGGCCTATCAACAATCTACAATAAGGTCCCATCTCAAAGACAAAAAGATTAAGTCAAAGTCAAGCCGATCCCCAAAGTCAGGCATTTCAAACTCATTCATTAACTATACTCGATCCTGTAATTCGAAATAGCTTAAAAGAGATGAAAGTGCACTTCAGTAGCAGGATTGGAATAACCAATTGGAGAATTATCAAATTGACTGATTGCACTAGAATTTGTCATTCCAACCCAAAAGTAGAAAGGAAAGATTTTATGCCCCACCATCAAAAAAGAATAAGAGTAGTCAAAGCCTTGCCTACAGAAGCTCATCTTAGTTTGATGGAGCAACAAAACTTTGCCTTGCTTTTGCGCAAACTATTCTTGCTTGTATGAGGTATAGTGAAAGACCAAGAAAATGAAACAAAATATTTTTGGCGTAGGGCTATTAGCAAGCAGGCTTAGATAAAGGGGTGACTTTGTTTGCCCTCTGAAGTTGAATAGCACGAGTTAAAATGCCAGCCTCTCATAATAGAGATCAGAGGATTATAAATTTTATATTGATATTGTTTGGCAGATGAGAAGCAGGCAACTCAAGCTATAAAGTCAGGGAGTAAGAACTTTGGGAAGGTCTGGCTGTGACTTTCTTGGCATTGAAGTGGCCTCTTCACCTCAAGGTTATATTCTATAACAAGTTAAGTACACTTCCAATCTTATTGCTCGTGCTCTTCTCTTCGAAAAGACAATAAAAAAGGTGATACTTTTAGGATTAGTCCACCCATGTGATAAAGGAGGGTCCCACACAATTATTAGATTCGTTTATTCATGTATTTGTGTTAGGATAGTAGAGTTCAGAATCTACTGAGAAACCTTATATGTGTAGGATTTGGTTACCTAATTGTATAGAACTATGATTCTCATGGATAGACTATTATAAATAGTCATGTGGACAATAGGGTTTTCTTTGAGAGAGATTGAGAGATTGAGGTGAGGGAAAAAATAGAGATGTAGGGAGTGAGAGAAAAAATACTGTGAGAGCACCGAGTGAGCAAGGGTTCAACTACGCTTGAGCATGGGGTTCGGATAGTGGTGTAGGTTTTAAGTGTTTTAGCTATCTCAAGTATATTCTCTATTTTATTCATAGTGGTACCTCTCTCTCCCATGGATGTAGGCAATTTGGGCCAAACTACGTAAATCTCTATGTGATTGTTTGTTCTCTTTGATGTGTGAGTGAGTTTGTTTTTGTTTACTTTGGTGGGATATGGTATAAACCCCAACAGATACTCCTTTGGAACTCAATGTCAAGCTTCGGCCAAATGTTGGGAACCTCTTTCATGGAGCCAATCTCCTTCAGGCTACTTGCTTTTTAAGAGAAACATCACATGATTATTTTCTATCCCCAAACTTATCGGGTCTAATGAATGACTTCCACATGGACAAATGTGTTTGCACTAACCAATGATTGGCTAGCATAGTGTTTTAAAAGACTCCAGGTGCACCGAGGTGATAAGATCTCCTATAACCTAAGTGCGAGGCGCGAGATGAGGCGCACGCCTCACCAAAGCGAGGCGCACGTAGTAAAAGCAAATCAAAATTATAAAATAGACAAACTTTTTAACATAACAAATATATGTAGTATATTAAAAATATAATATCCAACAAAAGGTATAAAGTACCACATTTTCACCTCCATCAAAAACCTTACGTACTAAGATCATCCACATGAACTTCAAAACAACTAAGCTTCTAACTTGTGGTTCAAAAAGGAAATTAAAAAATATAAGTCCTATAGTTGCATAATTGTACTCAAAACTTAATAGATATCATCATCATCGTGAAGAACTTCATCTCCTCCATCATTCATCATTGGATTTGTATCCATCGACACATGAGAGAGAAGAAGAACCAGAGAAGAGTAGAATCAGAAAAGAGAAGAATAAAGCAAAAAAAAAAAATAGAGTAGAACAGAGGCAGAGAAGAACTAGAGAAGAAAACCAAAGTAGAACCAAAGAAGAGAGAGAAGAAAAGAAGAGAAGAAGAGAGAGAACATAAGAAGAGTACCAGAGAAGAGAAGAAGAGGAGAAGCACCTGTGTGGCGTGTCATGTGCTCTTCCTATCGCGTCGACGCGTCATCTTCTTCTTCCCCACTAGGTTTTTTTTTAATCTTTTTGCTCTTTTGACCCACGTTTTGGTCATTTTATACTGGAAATGAGATTTTATTCCATGTGGGTATCCACACAGAAAACCAGATGGGCTGTTGGAGTGGAAGAAACGTGAAGTGCATAAGGCACTCGCCTCGAGCCTCAGCATAAAGCGCTCACCTCATCACCTTGACTGCACCTCCTCTACATTGCCTCGCCTCACCATGCATGAGGCGCCTAGCTGCGCCGCGCCTTGAGCTTAGGCGCGCTTTTCAAAAAAATGGGCTAGCATATGAAGTAAACAACAGTGTAGAAGATGGAGAAGGGAACTAAATGTTGCCGGTCAATAAATTAACAAAGAAGGGAACAAAATGTCTGATTGAAGGATATGAAGATAGGTGACTACTTAAAGAGAAGACATGTGGAATAAAGACGGTCAAACACCTCGTACCAAAAAGAGGGACAAAGACAGATCTGCATGAGACAGATGGTATGCAAAGAACCATTTAGCTCCCAACAATTGTTTGACGCAGAAGCTCTTCGAAATGGGCAGTAATTATGGAAAATGGGCATCTAAAGCAATTACTTGGAAGCATTACTGGCAGTTACCAAGAAGCAGCTAAAGATGGCAGCCTATAAGTAGCAGGCTCAATTGAAGACAACGAGAGCATAAAGACATCAATCACACCAACATTCTGTCAAATTACTTGTAGAATTTTTAGGAATTAAGCGTTAGTCTTAGGAATTTAAGCATAGTATCAGTAGGAGTATGATACCGGCTTCAAAGACAGCAAAAGTCATTCATACTTGTAGCAGTGTAATTGTACGGTACTTTAATCAAGTCTCACTTCTAGTCCACAAAATCTCTCTCCCTCTCCTTGTGTTTGTTGTTTCCTTTCTTTAACACTTGTTGAATTTTGAAGTCCTCTTCATTAAAGCAAAAGGACCTTCAACACTTTGCCAAGTTCATTATTTGGCCAAATTAGTTTTTTCCTTGTGGCGTACCATTTTCTTTGGGAAAATATTTTGGGCCAACAATTATACCTATATTTTGAACTACAATGCTACGATAAATACTTACAATGATGATCAAACAACATTTAGAAGAATTAGTAAATATAAAAGGCAAATATTTATTTGTAAGGACAAGGCTTTTTTAATTAAAAATAAAAAATAAAACAAGACTATGATTTATTGCTCAATCAATAATCTTCCAAATCAAAAAACAAGCCTATGGGCTGAAGGGTTGATGAAGAAACTAATAATTAACACATTATATTTCAAGCTCGTAACCCATCTTATGACCATAATTGTGATGTTCATATTCATTATGACTAGAAGGTGTTCACACTCGAGGGGTGCACTATAAAATCAATCGGTTAATCTTTCAATGATTGACATAAAAAAATGTAAATAAAGAGAAAAAGAAAACTGAAGTAAGCTACAAAAAATTTTTTAAAAAAAAAGTAAGACACTTGCAAGGTAATTTGGGAATGAAAAAACTGTGACAAAGCTTCACATGGTCGTAGGCTTTATAAAATAGAATATGTAGAATAGATAAAGCTCTAATCAAATAAGTCCACCCACATCAATAATCACAATCACAACAATTAAGCTGTAATTAAATAAGTTGAAGCTAAAAGAGACGGAAAAGAATTTATAAAAAAAAAAAATTAACTGGAAGATTTTTTTTTTTTTTTTTTTGGGTTAATAAAAATACAACCATATCTGAATTGGGACTTGAAACTCACACTTCCCCAGTGACTGATCTAGGAATTTTTCACCAAAGAAAAAAGAAAAAAGAAAAAAATAGATAAACAAATTTCAAGACTACTATTCATACAATTTAATGTTTGTGCGACACCTACACAACCAAGATTTCAATAATTTTAATGGGAATGTTCTAATGAACACGGACAGACTGATTAAGAAAAAAAAAAAAAGAAAGAATTGAATTGCACAAGATGAAAATGAACAAAGGATTACATTTCATGGTCAATAATTACCAAAAAGATGATCCTCCAAGCTACCCATAGCCATGTACTCATAAACCAAAAGTCTTTGTTCTCCGTCAGTGCAATAGCCGATCAAGGTGACAAGGTTGCGATGGTGTAGTAGACTCAACATGAGAACCTCCACAATAAATTCCTGGTTTCCTTGGAGCCCATCGAGATTAAGTTGTTTGACTGCAACAAGCTGCTCAGGTATTTGAAATGATTAGTATTATCTGAACACCAACAACAAATATACAATGCACATTTACCCAACATCTATGTTCAAAAGCCATCAAAGAAAACAATTTTATCGTCTTATCACAAATTAGGAACAAACAAAACACAAAATGTTGATTTTCAATTCATATTCATTAAAGACGAAAAATTGAAATAAAAGAGAGTTTTCAAAATGCACAACTTGCCTGCCCCGAGTCTAGGCGGCCCTTGTAAACGCAACCAAAACCCCCTTCCCCAATTAAATTAGCATCCCTAAAGTTTTTTGTTGCCACGGCAAGCTCGCGGAACATGAAGCTTCTGGCTACATTGCCCTTTTCGCTATCAGTTGCCTTGCCTTTACTGCTCAAAGAATTTTCTTGACGGTCTGCACAGAAACGGATAATAATAATTCAAAACAAAATAAAGAACCCAGAAAAGAAAATGCTTCATGAACAAAATTTGAGCAAATTTAAAATGGATAATTTTATTTGCACACCATACAAGTTCTCAGGACACATCACAAATGTGTTCAGATATAAATTTTTGAATAAATATCAAATGTTCATATTTAGATTTATGAACATAAAGCAGTTGTTCGGATAACTTTAAATCTGAACATTTGATATTTGTTCATAAATTTATATCCGTACAGTGTGCAAATAGAATTTCCCATTCAAAAGCTATTGAGTTTCACGGATCTAATACAAAGAAAAAAGAGCAAAATAAAATGAAAATGAAACCTGGAGTCCCAGATGGGCGAATGTCCATATCAATATTTTTGACATTCTTACTACTCCCGCAAGAAAAACAAGTCATCTGTTTAAAAGCGAGAGAGCCACAAAAACATACACAGAGAGAGAACAAAACGATCGTAATTTGTGATAATCTTACATAACAGAATACAGAACCCAAAAAAAAAAAAAAAGCCTAACCCTAATTAGAGAGAGGAAGAGCTTGGATTCTCTCCTCTCTCAATAGGACCCACAAACCCTAGGCAAATCGAAAAAAATAAATTAAAAACAAAAACAATAGAGAAAAAACTGTAAGTATAGAAATGACAAAAATATATATAATAATTGGGAAGATTAGACAGGGAAGAAGAAGAAGAAGAAGGAGAAGGAGAAGGAGAAGAAGAAGAATATCAGCTGGTGTTTTGGGGAATTGGGAATCAGCGATGAGGATTGAAATTATGGGGACCAGTTTGGCTCCACTTTTAGCGGCACCTATATCGGTAACTATTTTTTTTCTCTCTCTATATATATATATCTATATGTATGTGGGTGGCGGTGGCGGTGGCGGTGGCGATACGGCGCAGATTGAAGTTTTCCAGGTCGCTATTCCACCCCCCACCACCCCCACCATAGCTCATCACTGAAACCCCAATCCCCAACCTCACTTCTTTCTTTGGCTTTTAAACGTTCTGGTTGGATGCCTCTATTCCCAATTTCCCACCATAATGTCATTTTCATTTTTTATTTTGACTCTATTTTTTAGTAAATTATAAATACTTAAAATAAAATAAAAAATTTATCTCTTATGATTTAAAAAATTATAAATATTTTTTAATTAAAATTTTTTATTTAACAAAATTAATTAAAAAAATAAAAATTTTAACTGCTCTCTTAGATAAGAATAAAATTATTCGAATTATTAATTGAAATAAATTTTTGACAAAATTAAAAATTATTAATTGACTTAATGATTTATTAATAAAAATTATCATTTGTTATAAAATTAGAAATTTGAAGAGGTAGAATGTAATTTTTCAAACTACATGAAGCAATTTGTATTTTAAGTAAATCTTCAGAGATGTATTTGTAATTTATCATTTTTTTTTTACTTTGGCCTATATGTTTTAAATTTTTTCTAATTTACTCTAAAATCTAACTTATACATAAAATTAAGGGAAATTTATTAGAAAATCATTTTTCAAGTGTTTGTATCCCAATTAATCCATAAGATATTCTTATATTCTAATAAGTTCTATTATTTGGACATTTGATCTATCAAATCCTGATTCTCATATTTAAGGTATTTTATGGACATTTCTATCCTTACAAATATTTTTTGAACGGTTAGCAATTTGGTGATGTAAACATTCGTATTTTACAATGTGAATGTTCACATTGATGATGTTAACGTTCACATTGATGGTGTTAGCATTCACATCACGGAACATCCACACTGTAAATGTGAATATTATTAGGGGTATTTTGGTAACTATGTATAGACACTTCATTTTTTACGGCGGTTTAAGACTTTGATGATCTTGCAGATACATCCGGTGGCGAGTCTGATTGCTCACCAAGTGCTTGAAGTCCGCGGCGGAACGCCACAGGTTTGAATTTTCCAAACCCTGCATCATTTTTGCCTCATCTTTGGACCATGCTTAAGTCCTTTCAAATTGAGGTTGGTGATGGCCTGCCGGCCATTTTTGAGGGCTGCCCGCCATTGATGTGCCTGGGCGGCCAACAATGAACCCTTGCTGGCCATCATTGATGGCCGGTCAGCCACCAGTGTTCCAGCAGATATTGTCACGACCCGCTCCCGGTACCCGAGGGTTAAGCATCGTGATGGCCAGTAACTGAGGTTACCTCCAGCCAATTCTTAAACAAATCAATAAACGCGAGCGGAAATAATATTTAAATAAGGGTACCAAAATAATCATCGAAACTTCTATTTTTATTACAAAATTTATTAACCAAAAATGCTGATATTTACATATAAAAATATCACAAAAGTGTTGTGTGTGTCTAATCCGCAGCCTCGCATCTAAGACTTTCCAAAAGATATTCCTGAATTGCATTGTTTCCTTAAAATCGGTAAACAGCTATAAGCACATGGCAAAGCGAGAAATATTATTCCAAGAGTATAAGGGACACGAAATAACCATGGATAATTAGTTATGCCAAAACATTAACATAATTTGAGTTGAATACACAAATTAATTAAGTGCCAGAAACTGAAATAATCACTATAACCACGGCACATCACTAAAGTAACAATCACTACAGAGGTCAATGGATCCATGACAACACTGGACCGCAAAGTGGTCAAACACTAGCCCATGGTTATTTTAAGTCCCCCAAGGCGTGGGACTCTCGTGGTGGTACTTACAAAACACAATTGCTTATAAGGTCATAATCAAATATTCTTTAAAATATAAAACAAATATATCCATGGGTTTCACTTTAAGCAATTAAAGTTCAGAAAATAATCCACGTAACTGAAACCTTTATAAAACATAACTTTTATTAATATACTAATAAAACATAACTTGTGTAAAATAGATTTTGGTAAGTCAAAACATACGTAAAATATATTTTGGTAACTCAAGGTATAATATAACTCACCTTAACTTTAATACCTTACTCTTTCTTTCCACTATCAAAGACCCTTTTAGCTTCCACTGTTTTTTCTTCCTTCTCTCTTTTCTTTCTTTCCTTTCTTTCTCTTTTTCTTCTTCTTTTATTTCTTTCTTCCTTACGGAGTCAACTTCTCCTTATTTATACAAATTCAATTCGTGAGCCCCAAGCCAACTGCCACGTGTTACTTTCTTATTAATCTCCATTAATTCGAATTTATCTAAATTAATTGAAGCTTATCTAAACTTAATTATTTATTTATATTTTGACCCCTAAATTTTTAATAATTATATTATTTTACAAAATTACCCATAATAATATATAAAAATGATATATTTTCCCTAACTGTGATTAAATAATATTAGTATAAATTCTATAGAATAATTAAAAATTTGGGTTGTTACAGATATTTTTTGATATTTTGTGCCAGTTGTTTGCACAGATTGATGCATCTTCTAACACGTGTGTGGCTGGATTTTTGTGAGGGGAATTTGCATCTTCTATATATAGAACCCCCCTCTTGCATGTGGGGGGGGGGGGGTTAGAAAATTTTGAAGATAAAAATTCTCTCTCTCTCTAAAATTTCCTCTCTTTCTTGTTATTTTGTGCCTTAAGTTTAGTTTCTCTACACTTTTGCACTTGAACCCTAAACCAAACACTCTCACCTTGGAGCTGAGGTCTCTTGAGGTCCTTTTTTGTGTTCTAGAAGAGGATTTTGGCTTGATTTAGCTTGTTTTGTTGCTCTAATTGCATCTTGTCTTCAAGAGGTATAACACTTGTATTTTAAGCTTCTTTTAAATACTTGTTTTGCCATCTTTACATGCTGTTTTTGAGCTGGTTTTGACATCCTAAAATCTCTATTTTTATGGTTTAAAAATGGTGGTTTAAGGCCCCTTTTGAGTTAGGGGTGGTTCACCCTTGCTGTTACTTGGCTTGTTAGGCTTTTGTGCCTCTTTTTCAAAGCTTTTGAATCAAAATTTTTGGGCCATTAAACCACTGAATCTCAGAGTTTTTCAGTGATAAAAACCATATTTTGAAGTCCAAAATTGGAGGGGTTAGCCTCCCCTCCTTGTTGTCTTGCTTGCATGCCTAGTTGCCTCATAAGTTAGCATGTTTTTTTAACTTATCTTCGCCTATTTCTAACATGTTTTTACCTCTAATTTGGGTTGATTTGGCTTTGTTTTGGGCTGTTTGTGTTGCATGAGTAGTGTTTTGCATAGTTGTAGTGTAAAGGGCTTCACTAGCTTAGTGTTTTGAACCTTTAAACATGAATTGCATGAGTTGCTTGCATGTTTTATTGCCATTTCGCACTCTATTTCAGCACTGAAATCTTTGCAATCTCCCTCTATTCTTCACTCTTTCATTTATTTTGAAAGTGGCTTTAAACCACTTGTTGGCTTGAATGTGGAATTGAGTCGTCCATGCCTAATGGTTTAATTCCTTTGGGAGTTCATTATCAACGGCATGAGGTTTCTTTCATGCTCAAGGTGTTTGTGGTTTAAGCTCACTTTCAATTAGAAGACACTCACCTTTTGGACTAATCAATTAAAGAATGGATTGGTAATTTAAAATGAGTAAACAAAAGTGATAAGTAAAACTTGAGCAAAATAAGCATGTTGTGTTGCATTGCATGTGTTCAATCGGACGTTATATTGAACACAAGGAAGATTGGGGCATTTCATACTCAAAGTGATGAAATGAGACAATCTCCTTAGTCTCCATTACCCTTGATCTCATATGATAGGGTAATGGTCTTGAGTCTTGTTTTGCATACAATGAAATTGTATTTCTTGGTTCTTTGGCCATCATGCATTGAAAATGCTTGGTTGGTGATTTTGGAACCAAGAATACCACTCATTGGAGATGTTTGATGATAAGGAGTGATTTACAGTACATACAACCTGTGAAATTACTTCTTTCCTGCCCTGTGTTGTGCTCTGTTGCAGCAGAGTGAAGTTGTTCATCAGTGGCCCGCAGGCCACACACTGATGGCCAGCAGTGCCCTTTTGTAGCAGGCACATGGTCGGCAGCCTCCATTAGTGGCCGACCAGCCACTAATGTACTCTCAGAACAGTGCCCTTTCAGCATACCAGAATTCAACTGTGCAAACAGCGGTAGTCAGCTGCAAAGCAGTGGCATTCCGGGTGGAAAACAAGCGCACGCATGTGCATTTGATGCGTCTCAAGTTTAACTAGCTAGAACAGCATGCCTATTGTTAGTTTTGAGCTGGTTTTGTACTTAATTAATTTAGTTTAGTTAATTAGTGCAACATGTATTTGATTAGCTTAGATTAGTTAATTGATTGTTGTAATAATTAAGTAGCTTAGCTTAGCTATTTCTTTATTTTGTTTTGTATTAATTAGCTTAGTTAGATTAGCTTAGCTTTTATTCATTCGAACCCTCCTTCGCGAGGGCGTAATGTTAGAATAAGTGTGCGTGCGTGTGTGCATGTCTTTTAACCCCACGTCTTTCTCCTTTTTATTTTATCGCTTTCGATGTTTAGACTAGGGACATATTTTGATTAGCATACCTTATGCTTGCATGTTTACATCCATTCATTTGTCTTGCATGCACCGAGGCTCGGCGCATCATTCAAACTGCATCGCAATTTCAATATCTTCTTTGCATACGTGTTTTATCGCATGTTGTTCAAATTGATTCGTATGTCATATTAGTAGCCGAGCCTATTAATTACATATTGCATATGTTGCATTAGACACTTAACATAGTTAGGATCATGCATTTTTCTAACTAGTTTTTGTTTTGGCTTAGAGTACTCGGTAAGTTTTTATGCTTTAACATACTTGCATGAGTGTGATTGCCATGTTGCCATGTTTCACATGCTTACCATGAGGCTATGTGCTTACTTGCTAAACTGCATGAATACCTGTGGATGAAGGCTTTGTCATTTGAATTGGAACAATTCACTAAATGTGCGTTTTAAGCCTACTTTGTTGTGACAAAATCGTGTTTTAAGCCTACTACGTTTGGTGGCAAATCCGCATCTTTAGGCCCACTTGAGGGTGGCAAATTCAAACCA